AATATTTAGACTGTATTATTTGTATAATAATAATAATTATAAACGTTGGGCTATTTAAAGATAGCCTACATATTCTTATCTAGTAGGAGTGTATTTAGTGTGATTGTATAAAAATGTAATAGGATGCATTAAAAAATAATTACATTTATTTCAATCTTATTTCAAGTCAGTTTTATTGTTCTGAAAGTAGCACACGGGATGAGCGGCTACGAGTAGCATATACGAGGATATCGTACGTAGCTTAGGCTACACCATGACATACATGGTCAAAAATTCTCATTTCTAATGAAATACAGCCTAATCAATTCAAACACAAAATGTGTAAGTTTCATATTGCAGTTAAATTAATAATTATAATAATCCAAGTTTTGGAATGATTCTTTAAAATAGAAAATAATATTTCGACCAATATCTGAGAAACACCGCGTCCCTTATCTATAGCTCACAAACTGTCACTTTAATGTTGAATAATTGAATAAATGTCAGCCACTTAAGATGAGATAATTTAATATTTTAAATAATAGGTTCATTCAAAATCACGTTTGTTATTATTATTATTATTATTATATGCACACACCGAGGAATGATAAACTAATAAACTACAGTGCTGTTCAAGAATCATGTCATTTTTAGTTAGCGAGGGGCAGCCGTTCGTAGGCTATAGGCTCACTATCCAGCAGAGCAGCTACACAGGAAATAAGCTCGCTGGTGGCTTGCAAACACGGGCATGTTAGGCGCCAAGTCCCTATTTGATCTTTTTAAGGTTTCTTGAGCTATTAACGTTCAGCGTTGTTCGACCCTCTCACAACAGCCGAGCTGTGTAAAACACAAAGTCAGCATGTGAACAGACGGATGCCAGAATTGTTGGTGCACTATCCAGAAGATTCAATGCATTTTTAAATTGATCTCGAAGATAAAAGAGGCGCCCGTTCCTAGGCTACTTCATTTCTCAACATTAAAAATCAACCGTTTCCTCAAGATTTGACTAAACCGTCGTGCTGTTTTTAGACTACTACTTTAACCCTTAAGTCCCTCTTGTGAGCAGGCCAAATGTGGACCATTTAATATAGGTATGCTATTTTACATTTACAAATTCACAGAGCATATTAATCATGATGTTAAGGATACTTTAAATAAATATGTGGATAGCAAAAAAAAATAAAAAATCTGTAAATGTGTCTGTAATTTGAATGGACTGAAATAAGACTTTATGTAGCCTAACGGTTTCAACCACCAACAAAGATAGAGCGAAGCTTGGATCTAAAACAGAGCAAAGGACTGGAACTCAGTGAAATGTATAGAGTGCAAATTTACATTATTTTAATTTCAGGTTCAGATTCGGAACGAGGCAGTTTTACTCATCTTGTTTTCCACATACACTCACGAAAACCAATGAAGAGAAAGTTGTAGGGGCTGCTGTAGGCTATGTAGGCTAATAGAAGTAAATATTTGAGAGGCACGAAGCCTTGAGACCCTATTTTGTGCGTTACGTTAGAAAATTGCACAGTATAGGCTTTAGATCTCGCGTGGTAATGTCACCTGCACTTCATTTCAGACACATACTTGATATTGCGGACATGTAGCCTGCTTTTGTTTGCAAATGTAAATAAAATTGTAGTTTGAAACTACTATGGTTATAATAACTTTCCAATTGATTTATTCGTTTTTTTTTTGTTTGACACAGTTTTGGGTAAACATCTTTTAAAATGTTCAGAAATTTACACACACACACACATACAATATATATATATATATATTCTGAACGGCATTGGTCTTGTGGAATGCTTATGACCAGAGCACATATAATAGTCTATTAATATCAATAATTATTAAAAATCTTTGTAATGCACGAAAAATTGAATTAATTCAGTAATCTAATAGGCCTTTGAGAACAATGTATATATATCGCCTTCACCCTATGCTTACACAATTCAAATGAAATCATATTGAAGGCTATGTCTCCTTTCTGACATTATTCGCAGATAGGCCTAAATAGTTGAAAATGAATTTGGAGTACTACGTTTTTCTGGAGGTTATTGTTGCATTGGAATAAAACTGTATTAACATAAATGCAGATGTTTCATAAATGTCACAACTTCGATGGTTTAAAGCAGAAACGCGATGTCCTGTATTTTCGTAGAGTTATTGTGGAATCATTGCTCCGTTTACTCTCAGTGCTGATAAAATATCTCCAACCACCTTTATTATGCAACAATAAATGAAATGTTAACCCCAACCATTAAAAAGAGAATATATATATTTTTTATAATCTATTTTGTCTGTTTTATCTAAGCAAAGATCGCATTACCTTTATAAAATGTGGAAGAAATTGTTTTATTGGCACATCATGATTCAAAGTCCAAACATTCGTCATAGGCATAATTCTCTTTCTCTGAAACCAAACAGTTTGACTGAAATACTATGTTTCTGTTATGTGTGTTATATATGAACATTGCAGCGAAAAGCGAAGACTAAATATTGTTTATTTTACTCTTTTAATGTCCAGGCTAGATAGCCTACAATTAAATTCCACTGACGTAAATATTAATTATCCTAAATAAAACGTTTTTGTAGACAAAGTGTTGGGAAAATGATCAATGAAAGAACTTTCTAACAGACATTTTTGAAACATTTTTCTTTTTAAACAAAAGTTTGGTCCCCGTTTTTTAGTCCCAGTCTCACTCTCTGGTCTCAGTACTCAATTAACAGGTAAAATTATTTATATAAATTATTGTTAATTAAACAATGTGTGAAAATAATAAAATAAGCTTGTTTGGATAAATATAAACGCAACGAGTGGGATCGATGGTCCCATAGTTATTTAGAATAAACACCGGACTTCTCAGATAAATATCTATATCGTGTTTCTATTTTCTAAGTTATCAAACCTGTCTGTTCTGGGAATCCAGATAGTGAGGTCTCAGATGGCATGCTGTATTTCAAGTAGTTAAACCTAACAGCCACATTACACCATACTCAAAATCCAAGTAGTAGGACACATATCCTATTTCGACCACACCTGGTGCTCGTGTCAAGGTCCATACAATTAAATAAAACATTAAACTTACTGTTCTTATTTCTGTCAAATGAAAAATCAAATAAAATCAAACAATTAATTAAATAGAATTTGAGAGAGTTAACTCGTAGATCACGGAGCAAGACGCAGCAAGAGATTTACTTTGAATAGGATGTCTTGTCTATTTTAGCAATTGATAATTTCAGAAATAATAACCTGGGGGAAAAAAGTGAACTTGTTACCCAAGTGTTTGTCTGAAACGACCTGCTGAAGAAAAATCGTGTAAAATTACAATATAATTACAATTACATAAAGAATGCGCAAACTTAACGATGTTAAATTACGCAGAGATCACACAGATGTAACATATAAGAGTTCCCATCCGTTGGATAGTTTTAGAAACTAGAATACACAGAATTTTAGAACGAATACACAGAATAAAAAGGACAATTTTCGGTCTAGAAAATCTTTACCTCTGAGAAAAGATTTTTTCTCAATGACCAGAGGGACCAGAGAACGTGATGCTTTAAATGGGTGAAACCGGAATGGGATTCCGGGTTTTGGGGTGTCTGAAGTCTAACTACCCCATGGTCCTCTGTTTGTAAGACCTGCCAACTAGATAACAACACAGCACTTAGGCCTCCATGCTTAATGGACTTTTTATGGGTTTGTCCTGTGATCATGTGACCTCTAGCATTATGGCTTCTCTGTGGCTCTTTGGTGAGTAGATCAGAAACATACCGCTGACTGCTTTTTCCCTCGTTTTGGAAACCAGGAGAGCAAAAGTGAGTGTGACAAGAAGAGGCGAAAGACAATGAGAGAAGATGAAGGAGCAATGCAAAGTTCTGAGGGGAGAAATCGGGGGAAAGGAAAATAGCGAGAAAGTGAGAAGTGAAGGTCATGAAGACAAACCTGATCACGTTCCTCACGATATGTATCTTGACTGTATCATTAGCTTCATGGAACTGTGACCGAAGCAAGCTGGGGCACACAAACAGATGAAATTACAGATTTATGATTGCTTGAAAATAATTTTTAAAGGGTTCCTAATCTTGAAATATCTGTTAGCATCTTCTCACCCTCATGCCATTCCAAACGAGTGTGCATTTCTTCTTTAGAATACAAAAGATGATATGTGACCCTGGACCACAAAATATGATTTGCCGCGTACATTACAATTTTACCCATGTATTTCAAAGCTTTTAAAGGGATAGTTCACCCAAATTACCCCATGATTTACTAACCCTCAAGCCATCCTAAGTGTATATGACTTTCTTCTTTCAAATGAATCCAATAAGATATGTGACCCTGGACCACAAAACCAATCATAAGGGTCAATTTTTTGAAATTGAGATTTATACAACGTCTGAAAGCTGAATAAATAAACTTTCCATTGATGTATGGTTTGTTAGGATAGTACAATATTTGGCAGAGATCCAACTATTTGAAAATCTGGAATCTGAGGGTTCCAAAAAATGAAAATATTGAGAAAATCGCCTTTACAGTTGTCCAAATGAAGTTCTTAACAATGCATATTACTAATCAAAAATGAAGTTTTGATATATTTACGGTTGGAAATTTACAAAATAGCTTCATGGAACATGATCTTTATTTAATATCCTAATGATTTTTGGCATAAAATAAAAATGGATAATTTTGACCCATACAGTGTATTTTGGGTTATTGCTACAAATATACCCGTGCAACTTAAGACTGGTTTTGTGGTCCAGGATCACATATTTTGTGTTTTTTGTCCATTCAATTAAAGTCATTGGGGTCTAATGTTGTTTTGATCCACATCGACTTGCATTGTACAGATAAAAACCACTTCAAAACTTTCTTCAAAAGATCTTTTGTGTTCTACAAGAAAAAACAGGTTTGGACAACATAAGTGTAAATAAAGACAGAATTATTATTTGTGGGCGAATTATCCCCTCCCATCTAACAATGAGAACATGAAACTAAAATATAACAATTTCCTTGATGCGTAAAAGATTTGTAGATGACTCCTGTTTATTGTGCATGTTACGTGCCACTGAATTCAAGGTGAGGCTTCATAAAGAAGCATCAAAAAACATTCCACTGTGTGACCTTGGAAAGAGGGAGGAGACCAGGTAAAAATATGTGCTGTGTTGCATCATTGTTAACTGGTTAGCCGCATTCATCAGGATTACCTATACGATTGTAAACCTGGCTTAGTACCCTGACAATACCACTTCATTTTCCAGGATTAATATGTACAATTGAATAAGTGTTATATAAACGTGTATCAACACGCCACAGTCCTAACATCAAAGATACAGATATTGCCTGCTTTAATTTCCAGGTGTTTAACATGAATACAGCATGTAGATTCAACACCATTAACAGCAAATTTGACTCAACAGATACATGAAGGACACAAAAACTAAAACTGTACATTTGAAAAGAAATGGTGTGTAACGGCTGATCTGAGTCTTGCGTGTTTGTGGTTGGTGAGAATGAAATGATACATTTTTAATCTTTCGTTAGCCTGCAGAACAGCAACGAAGGCAAGAAAAAAAATCAGAACAAACATTAAATTCACAGCATCTCATCAACTGATTGGTGGATTACCAATTGTACACGAGTGGGCTCACAAAAGTAACATGATTACAACAGAAACTCACAGCCTCAAATGCTACACACACTAACAAAATAAACACACATCTTTCCCACTAATCATCCAATTTACATATGTATTCATTCACTCACTCATGTATGGCTCCCACCCAGCACATGCATGCCAATGAAATCACATAGTTGGGTCAAATTTTTGCATGTCAGGTCGTGTGAAAGGCAGGCAGTGCTGGCTAAGGCTACGGAAGGGGCAGAGTGTTGCCTTCTACTGGCCCTCCTCTTCTCGAAGGAACTGGAAGACAGATGAGAAGTCTTTGCTGGCGTAGCCGCGTGCGCACATCATACGGTAAATCTGATGGGCCAGAGAGCCCAACGGCACTGGTGTCTTTGATTGTGTAGGAATGTATCAGTGATAGCAGTATATAATAATAAATGTTTATTGAGCAGGAAATCAGCATATTCAAATTTAAATTTCAGCTTTGCCATCACAGGAAAATATATTCACATTGTAAAAAAAATAAAAAAGATAAATAACATTACCACCGTTTTTATTGTAGTTTTTGAGAAAAAAAAAAAAAAAGATCTCAAAAACATAACTCTTTATTCCAAATGTTTGACCACCAGTATAAAAAGTGGAAAAATAGACTAGACTTCACTAATCAACTATTTAGGTTATTAGTTTACCATTGTGTTAGTAATTCATTCTTAATCTATATAACATGCTTCTATAATAATTATAATAATGGCCTAGAGGAAGACCATGGTAGAATGGTAGAAACAAATGTAAAGACAAAGCACACCTTGGCCATTAGTGTAGTTCCGAAGCCACCCTGGTAGTTGTTTGCTGAGGGCACTCCCTCCATCACTCCCGGGACAGGGTTGTATGTGTCACTCGACCAGCAGCGGCCAGAGCTCATGTTCAAGATCTTCGCCAGAAGTTTCGGGTCAAGTCCTAATCTGTAAAAAGTAGAAAATAATACAATCTGTAGAAAAAGTAAATGTACCAAGACAGCTATATCATTTAATCATCTGTACCATAGTTTTTGCTGAAAATTTATTTCACCTAGGCCATCCAAGATGTAGATGAGTTTGTTTCTTCATCAGAACAGATTTGGAAAAATGTACTCGTATTTTGGCCAGAAGTGACAGTTTAGAGTTAAAACGCTTTAATAATGGACTTGTTTCTTACGAACACGCAGCTTTTCACTTTACAAGACATTAATTAATGGACTGGCGTCATGCGGATTACTTGTAAATTATTGTGCTGTTTTTATTAATTGTTTGGACTCTCATTCTGACGGCACCCATTGGTGAGCAAGTGATGCTACATTTCTCCAAATCTCTTCTGATGAGAAAAACTCATCTACATCTTAGATGGCCTGAGGGTGAGTAACTCTTTTAGCAAATTTTCATTGTTGGGTGAACTGTTTCTTTAAGTAATTCAACTGTGCCCTGCACCTGATTCCCAAATTCATGGTCTCCGCTGTTCCAATCATCCCAATGGCCAACAGCATATTGTTGCAGATTTTAGCTGCCTACAAAAAAGGAATAGAGAGATTATGACCAGAAATAAATCAGAACCTTTCTAAGAATGGCACTATATTCTTAAAGACATCCTGTTTATACCTGTCCGGTGCCAACTTGGCCACAGTACACCACATTAGCACCCATACAGCTCAGAAGCTCCTTGGCGGCATTGAACTCCTCCTCTGGCCCACCAACCATAAAGGTGAGCTTACCTGAAGTGGCAGCACCAACACCTGAGAGAAATATAGAAAACGATGCAGATCATACAGTACATATCTAAAATACACATACAGTGCCTTGCGAAAGTATTCATACCCTATTCATTTATTCACATTTTGTTATGTTGCTGCCTTATGTTAAACTGCTTTAAATTACTTTTTTTCCACATCAATCTACACTCCATACACCATACTGACAAAGCAAAAACAGAATTGTCACAACTTCATAAATTTATTACAAAAAAACTCAAATAAGTACATTGCATAAGTATTCATACCTTAACTAAATATTTAGCTGAAGCACCTTTACAGTCTCAAGTCTTTTTTTTGTTTGATGCGACAAGCTTTGATCATCATAATTTGGCAATTATCTGCCATTCTTCTCCTCACCTCTTCACCTCTCAAGCTCTGTCAGGTTGGATGGGAGAAAATGCACATTTTCAAGTTTCTCCAGAATTATTTGATTGGGTTCAAGCTCAGGCTCTGGCTGGGCCACTCAAGGACATTCACAGAGTTGTCTATAAGCCACTCTTGCTGTGTGCTTAGGGTCATTGTCCTGTTGGAAGGTGAACCTTCTGCCCAGTCTGAGGTTCTGAATGCTCTGGACTGGGTTTTCATTAAGGCTAACTCAATATTTTGGTGCATTGAGCTTATCTTCTACTCTGACGAGTCCCTCAGTCCCTGCCACTGGCAAGGAACTATACTCTCATTCCGGCGTAATAATCAAGGAACTTTGCTGCCTTACCATGGGTGCAGCAGGCACAATATTACGCAGCGCCTGAAAATAGGCCCCAGCTAGGTAACTTCCAACATAACCATTGCTTATGTTGGCGGAAGTTAGCCTATGTTGGAAGTTACCTAGCTGGGGACTATTTTCAGGCCCTGCGTAATATCATTGCACCTGCTGAACCCATGGTACGGCAGCAATATAGTTCCTAGCCATATCAGCCTAGAAAATCACAACTTCTCATTTTCCGTCGGTCATGGTACACGATCAAGTTTTAAATTGGAAAAATATCGAAACTCTTTGGTCATTTTTGAGCGAGATGCTAACGGTCTAATCAGATTCAATGATCTATGCTAAGCTACAGCTAAAAGTGCTACCGCCAGACCCGGAGATCGGCTGAATGGATTCGAAAACTGTAAAACTCAACTGTTTAACTCTAGGGGAGTTGGAAAATGAGCCTATTTTCAAAAATAGTGGAATGTTCCTTTAAACTGACATAGAAGTTCAAGTTCCACAGAAGACCTCTGTAACAATAACAATGGAAGTGGAGTTTCGACCAAACATGACCAATCAAAGAATGAGCAACCACATGCATGAATTATTGACGGAATAAAGGGGTGACTAAAGCTCTAATGTGATTGTTTCCACAACATCATACCAGTAACCTGTTTTAAAGGGGTCATATGATGCGATTTCAAGTTTTCCTTTCAAAGGATTGAGAGGACGTGTCTTCAAAATGTAACACCATCGAAGTGCCATAATTACTCTCAGAGAGGAAATTTCTATAAACACACAAGCACTTCACCATCTGCTGTGAACACAGACGTGTATGACGTCAGGGACAGTTTGTTGTGGCTCACGTTTCATTAAGCCTCCTTCACAGGCGCTAACACGGAGCTGAGAATAATGTCTGGAGGGTCTAAGTAAAGAGAATGAGCAGGTTTGTGGATTTCTTTGGACTGTTTCACAAACCAAGAGCGGGTCCAACGGTATGTTAGCCAAACCCCACTGACGCATATGAATTGGGAGAGGCAACAATTTAAGGAAAGCAAACTAGAAGCACATTGTTTTTATGTGCCCAAAGACCAGAGGAAACAACTTCCTGATTAAAAAGGAGGCTCGCCATAAAGCACAAACTAGCTGTTGACTGAGTTAAACCTTTCTTGTGTCCAAGTAAAGAGAATGAGCAGGTCTGTGGATTTCCTATGACTGTTTCACAAACCAAGAGCGGCTCCAACGGTATGTTAGCCAAACCCCACTGACGCATATGATTTGGGAGAGGCAACAATTTAAGGAAAGCAAACTAGAAGCACATTGCTTTTATGTGCCCAAAGACCAGAGGAAACAACTTCCTGATTAAAAAGGAGGATCGCCATAAAGCACAAACTAGCTGTTGACGGAGTTAAACATTTCTTGTTAGGCGACAACACAGGTCGTTTTCACACCTCAGGCAAGTTTATAAGCAGCACACAGATTTGAACACTGAGAAAAGTATGTGTACCTTACATTACACTAGACTTAAACAGTCAATTCTGACACAAATTGATTGCTATTTAAAGAGGTCATTTGCTTTAATTTTATTTCTATGATCCACTTGTATAAAATATATATATATATATATATATATACACACAAACACACACACACACACACACACA